ATTATAATAAAATTTATAATTGTACATTATTTATAAATATTTATAAATAATAGAATATGAAATATTCACCCTTAAACTATATTTCCATGATTCACCACCATCATCAACAACTGAAAATAATAATGTAATCAAAAAAGTAAAAGAATGTAAATATCTTGTAATATATAATAAATATCTTGTATAATATAATATGAAACAATTGTAATTATATAAATGTAATATACATATTATTACATATGTATATAAATATTTACCAAAATTTTCTGGATCTGTATCCCATAATTCCAATTCAGCAGGAGTTAGAAGGAAATAATGTGTTACAAGTCTTGAACAAATTTCAGTTAATGTTTCAGGTGTAAAAAATTCTTGTCTCAATTGATTTGCTCTTAACGTTAATGGATCTTTTGTATCTATATCAATAAATTTCTAAATTTAATGAATTACGTTCATAAATTTATAAGATAATAAACATTATATATACCTTCAAGAACTTTAGCTGGTTTGTAATAAGAAGATATCAAAATGCCTTTCATTAAATTTAAACATTGGATAACAAATCTTTCAAAAGCTAAAGCTTGACCCGCTTCAGTGAAACAATAAAAAACAGAAAATTCTAAGGAAGTTGGTATTAGTTCTACATAGCAAAACGGATGCATTTCTAATACTCCTATTAATACTTTAGTCAAATGAATTATGAATTTATCACATACTTCCATTTCTATACCTCTTGATATTAATGTTTTCCCTACAATTATATTTGCATTGTTATTAAAAGAAAAAAATATTACATAATATTATAGTTTGTATCAAAAAAAAAAAGAGTACTAACGACATTCAAGACAGGTTCTTGCACGTTCAAAAACAATTTCTAAAAATGACATAGCATCCTGAGATTCTGAAAGCTTATTAAATCCATTTACAATAAGTGTTCTAAGTATTCTTAATAGAAGTAATGCTTTTTCTAAAGCTTCTTGTATCTGATTTGTATCTGCTCCATTTGATGCCATTATAAGAAAAGATTCTGTGTATGTATTCCATAAATTCAGAATAAAACTGAACACATTAATGGTTAATTCTTGGAAGAGTCGTCTATCTGGAGCTAAACGTTTAGAGGCTAAAGACTTAACAACATGATGTAATGTTAATAGTGCCCGATGTTGGGCCAAAGGGTTTTGTCCTCTTATAACATCTAATAATGTTGGAATTAACGAACGCCACTCTCTAGGACAATCATATCTGTACAATATTACTTCATTTAATTTGCTTTGGATATCAAAATAAATATTTATTCAAATTATTTAATATCAATTACCTTGCAATTTTGGCAATAAGAGCTGCCAATTGAACAGCTATTTGATTTACAGGTTCTTCAAAGTTTGCTATTAAACGTTGTCTAAGAAATTCCTTTTCATCATCTGCAATTCCACTGTAATAATTTATATTATTTTGTTGTTAATTTGTATTTAAATATTTTCAAAATGTTAATATCATAGTACTATAATTTAATTTCATTAAAAAATACTTACTTTGGAGCATTTTTTCTCCAATATCTATCAACACCATTTTTAAAACATAAAATAGCCATCCATCTAATATTGATACTTAAGGAATGATTAGAAAATACATTCTGAAACAATTATTAATTTAATTATTAATATTTTATTTGATATCAAATTATTATATATTTATTAATTATAAATATAAAATCTTTCATAACCTAAATTAATTTTATATAAATAAATAAATATATAAATATTTTATAATATAGTTTATTATTATAAAAATGTAAAAATAAAATTTTATAATATAATAAAATTTTTTATTAATATTTATTTATAACTTACATATAATGCAGTATAGAATCCCCTTTCAGTTTCCCATTGTTTTAAAGTTTGTTCAGCTGGTTTTAAAATATTAGGATCTTGACTACCCGCTTGTTGAAGGATTTCTATCACTGCAGCATCCATATCTTCCTACAAAATATTATTATATTTTATTTTTATATTAAATTTAAATTACTGACTGTTATTTGTTTTCCTTTGAAAGTATCAACTAAACTTAATGAACATGTGCTAATGATATCTTCTTTTCTGATGTTTAATTTTCTTATAAAAAATCACAAATATTATTTCTATTTAGTTATATTAAAAAAGAGATCATTGCGCGAAATCAAATACCTTCTATTGTTATATTATTTTCGTCAAATAAATTATCATTTCCCTTATTCCGGGTGAACAGTTCCTAACCTACAAGAGAATATTAATCATACACATCCAAATATTACCTATCTTATATGGGGGTTGTAGAACTATTTTCGGTAAACTCCATTTATCGTAAATATCTATGTATTAAATCGATACATAACGAAAATCATCAGACACTCTACATCAAAATGTCACACACGCCCGCAAGTCGGCATTTCAGAACGCTGCCCCCCTCCTGTTCTTTTCTTTTTTTATAATATACGGTGGTGACAGTTATTGTGTAGTGTGAACCACCTTATTACGCGTAAGATGTAATTCTTTTCTTAATTTATTTTTTTTTACTGTTTTATAAATTATAATTTATTTCAATTAATAAATTATTTATTTATACTAAAATAGAAAATCTCATTTAATTTTTAAATGTATTATTAAGATAATTAATTATTTTCATAGACCAGCATATTATTGATAAATACATTTTAACATTTATTCGTAATTATATATTTTAAATAAAAATAAAGTTTTTGTATTTATTTATCTTTTTCATAATATAATGTGTTTAGTGATTTTGAATTTTTTAAAGAAAACTTGTTAATTTTACATTTATAATTTTACATGTATAAAATAAATATAATTTATTAATAAATTAATTAAATACTAAAAATTTAAGTTAAAATCTCAATAAATAAATAAATGTTAATGTGATTATATTTAGAAATTTATTAAAAATTTATTTATTACTATTTTCATTTTAAAATTTTATTATATTTAAACCGGATATCCGATATGCGCACTCTAGTGTTCACTAAGGTGATGAACGTTCTTTCTGTTCATGGCTTGTGATTACTTGTCACAATGAAGGTATGTATCCAAGAATATTTTAAGAATCTATATAAATATTAAGAATAATTAATAACAAAATTTATACTTTGAAATATTAGAAACAATTTTATATATATATAATTTTAGAAATATCTATTTATGTATATGCTTACATTATTATTCAAGTATATAAAATAAATAATTTTATTTAACTTTAATATTATTATGTAAATAAATAAATCATATATGTAAAAAATAAAAATAATTTCCTTTACATAAAATATATAAATTTACGAGTTTCATTATTAATATATTATAGTTATAGAACTAATTTGGTAAAACTAACTTCATCTTTGTTTTAACGTGCAATATTTGTTCTCTAGCTAAACGTATCTTATCCTGCAACAGGATGTCAGAAATTATTTGAAATCTCAGATGAACATAAACTTAGAATTTTTTACGAAAAGCGCATGGGCGCTGAAGTTGAGGCTGATGCTTTAGGTAACGAATGGAAGGGATATGTTGTTCGCATTTCTGGTGGTAATGATAAACAAGGATTTCCTATGAAACAAGGTGTTTTAACAAATGGTAAGATAAACATTTTCTATTGTAATTTTCATTATATTAGCTTTATAAATTTTTATATTTTATAAATTAGTTTAATAATTGAATTTATAATAAAATTATTACTTATAGAAATATTAATATGTTATTATTATGAATAGGACGTGTTCGTTTGTTACTTTCAAAAGGACATTCATGCTACAGACCTAGACGTGATGGCGAGCGTAAACGTAAATCTGTTCGTGGATGCATTGTTGATTCTAACCTCTCAGTACTTGCTCTTGTTATTGTCAAGAAAGGAGAAAAAGTATTAATTTTCTTTCTTATTCTTTATCTAATAATAACCATGTTCTTAGGGTATATCTAAGAATTTGTTTATTATCTTATGATATTATCGTAGACATGGGATATTAAATATCGTTTCTTGATTTGAGAAATTATATTACATGATTTATCTTTTTTCTCAGTGTACAAACGATACATATATTAATGAATTATTTGAATTATAAACACATACATAGATATAGGGATTGATTCATATTTTTTTTAATTAAATTTTTATAGGATATTCCAGATTTAACTGATAAAGATGTTCCACGACGCTTGGGACCTAAAAGGGCAAGTAAAATTCGTAAATTGTTCAATTTATCTAAAGAAGATGATGTACGTCGATTCGTTGTAAAACGACCAATTCAGAAAGAAGGTAAACCAGCACGTTCTAAAGCTCCCAAAATACAACGCCTTATTACTCCACTTACTTTACAGGTATATATCTACATATATCTACATATATATTTATTATATCATTTTTTTTATTAATTTTAGAAAATTAAAATTATAACACAAAAACATTTTTATAGAGAAAAAGACATCGATTGGCTTTGAAGAGAAGGCGTAGTTTAGCTCGAAAACAACAAGCAGCTGAATATGCAAAATTATTGGCGCAAAGACAAAAAGAAGCAAAAAATAGACGCCAAGAAGAATTAAAACGAAGACGCAGTGCTTCTATGCGGGATTCTAAATCATCCAGTCAATCAGCACCTACCACTCAAAAATAAAATGATTACAATGATGTATTTACAATTAAATAAAAAAAACTTTAATTTATTTATATTGTTATATTTATTATAGTTTTTATGCTTTACCTATCTTTATTTATTAGTACTTGAATATTATAAAAATATTATTGTAAAAAGATATTTAAAAATGAATTATTGAAACATCAAAAACATCAATTTTCGTATACTGAATTAAATTAAGCATATATGTTTTTTAACTTCTAATTTCTCTTTAAAAATGATTACTTATATAGAATTTCTGGAAGCTAAAAGAAATATAAAGTTGATTTACAAAAATGTTAAAGCTTATTTGACTTATAAGTAGTGTATTAGGTGACAACTAGAAAACAAAATGGAGAATAAAATAATGGTGTAGCGAAAATATAATCGTTTTAGTATGTAAATATATTAAAATTTAAAATAGGATTTAAAATATATTATTTATTCTGTATATATAGAATTGAAAATAATAATTATATCAATAAAAAACATAACAAATACAATTTATTATATTTAAATTTTTATGTATTTTAATATAATTTTAATGTTAAAAATATTTAATAAATAACAATTATTAATTCATTATGAAGATAAAGAAATTTATTTATTATATATGGTATTCTTGTCGAAATTATAATCTTTCCCAAATACTCATAAGGTTAGTATTAATTAATTTTTAAAAAATATTGTATATCTTAATTATATATTTAAATATAAAATAGAGAAGAAAATATTTTAAATAAAAAAATAAAAAATTATTTAATATTTAATATCAATTATATATTTAAGCATAAGCAATATCTATTTACAGGCAACATTTTAATAAGTCCTATTGTACAAATTCTCAAGTTACTAATGAATATGAAATACCAATAGAAAATATTCGTAATTTTAGTATTGTTGCACATGTTGATCATGGTAAAAGCACACTTGCTGATAGACTTTTAGAAATAACAGGTGCAATAAAAATAAATTCTGGTAAACAAATATTAGATAAACTACAAGTTGAAAAAGAACGTGGAATTACAGTTAAAGCTCAAACAGCATCCCTTAATTATACATATAATGGAATCAATTATCTTCTTAATTTAATAGATACACCTGGTCATGTTGATTTTTCTGCTGAAGTACACCGTTCATTAGCTCCTTGTCAAGGAGTAATTTTAGTAATAGATGCAAATGATGGTGTACAAGCACAAACTATGGCTAATTTTCACTTAGCCATTAAACACAATTTAGTTATAATACCAGTAATTAATAAAATAGATTTAAAATATGCCAATCCTGCTAAAGTTATAAATCAATTAGAAACATTATTTGACATAAAAGAATCAGATGTTTTAAAAATATCTGCTAAATTAGGCACTGGAGTACATAAGATTTTAGATGCTATAATTGAAAGAATTCCACCACCTAATGTATATAGAAATAAACCCTTCAGAGCTTTGATATTTGATAGTTGGTATGATAAATATAAAGGAGTAATTTTACTGATATATATTAAAGAAGGATCTTTATCTATAAAAGAACATATTACTACAATGTATACTAAGAAATCTTATGAAGTTAGAAATCTTTCATTATTGAGACCTTCTGAAGAATATGTAAATAAATTGTAAGTATTTTTATAAAAATATGTTAATTATATTAATATATATATATTCTCGATCATATATTAATAGATGATGTTTAGATTTGCAGGTCAAATTGGATGTATTTCATGTAATGTGAGATCTTCCAAAGAAATATTGATTGGAGATACATTACATATAAAAAATCAAATTACTGAACCTTTACTAGGATTTAAATCACCAAAACCAATGGTTTTTTCAGGCATCTATCCAATTGATCAATCAGAATTTCATAATATACAAATTGCTATTGAAAAATTAACATTAAATGATAGTAGTGTTTCTGTTGCATTAGAATTTAGGTATTTTTTATGATATTTTTCGAATCTATTAAATAAGTTAGATAAAAAAAGCTTATAAGTACAAAATACTGAATATAAAATAATTTTATATATATTTACTTTATCTTAAACATTTTTTTAAATTTTTATTTTAGCGTAGCTCTTGGTCAAGGTTGGAGAATTGGATTTTTAGGTTTATTACATATGGAAGTATTTATGCAAAGATTAGAGCAAGAATATGGTGCACTTTCAATTGTTACAACTCCTAGTGTTACATATAAAGCAAAAATTATTGGTAAAAAGAATATTAAAAAGTACAAAACTGATATGATTTCATTTAATAATCCTGCAAATTTTCCTGATCCTCAAATTATAGAAGAATTTTATGAACCTATGATACTAGGAACTATTATAGCACCAAGTATGTTTAATTATCAAATTTTATAACATAACTTATATAGCTAAATTTAAAAAAAAATTCTATATCTTTTAATTATTTTCTAGATGAGTACATGGGTACAGTAATGACTTTATGTTTTGAAAAAAGAGGAGTACAACATTTCACGAAAAATATTGGTCATAATAGAACATTGTTTCAATTTTTGCTACCATTGAACGAAATTATTATTGATTTCCATGATACATTGAAACGTATAACTTCAGGATATGCTACTTTTGATTATGAAGATCATGATTATGAATCTACAAATATTGTAAAAGTAATTATAATTATTTTAATATATTCATATAATAATGTTATATTTAAATTATAAATTATTTCTATTATAATTAATAATTATATTTTGTAGTTAAATATTGCTTTAAATGGTAATATAGTGGAAGAACTTAGTACTATTGTACATACTAGCAAAGTTCAAATAATGGGTAGACAAATATGTGAAAAATTAGTAGATATTCTCCCACGTCAATTATTTGAAATAGTAATTCAAGCAATTGTTAATGGAAAGATTATTGCAAGAGAAACTTTAAAACCATACAAAAAAAATGTAACTGCAAAACTGGTAAATAATTTTTTTTATTGAATATTGTATATTTTCATGTATCTTTATTATTAATTTTTTTCATTTTAGTATGGTGGAGATATTACTAGAAGAATGAAATTATTAACTCAACAAGCAGAAGGAAAAAAAAAAATGAAGATGATCGGAAGAATATGTATACCAAGAGAAACATTTATAAATCTTTTTAAAAAATAATAAAAATATAAAAATTATCATTTTAACTTTTATATTTAATATAATTATAGATATAATCACATTAAAGTAAATTAAATACATTTTCATATAACTAATATTTTACTATTTATTCTACAAATATAAAATATTTTTTTTATCATTTTAATATTTTGATACAATATATATTATCAATGAAATTAATTTTTTTAATATTATATTAGAAGTATTATATCATTGATTTACAGAATTAGGCATAGGATCTGATAATTGATGCGTGTTACTTGAAGATACAGTATTTACAGAGTTTATATTTTCTTGTTTGAAAGTAGAATTAGTATTAAGATTAATATTAGATGTGGATGCTGGATCTTGCATATCTAATTGACTTTGAGCAATATCTTGCAAAGCAGCTTGAATCCTTTGTAAAAGAGCTTCTCCTTGTTTTACAACTTCTTCTAGCTGTTCACCAGCTTCTTGATTTTCTTGTTCAAGCCGACTAAGACTTGCAACTTGTAATTCTTGTGATGATTCTTCACTTGGCAAACTTTCTATTAAAGTATCAATATCTTTTGCACATCTTGCTATAAGTGTTGCAAACAAAGCTGCATAATCTAAAATATAAATATTATTTATATAAAAATAACAATAATTATCAACATGAAATTAAGAAAAATAAATTATATATAAAAATAAATATATATATAAATATATACAACCTTCTTGAGGTTGATGTGGCTGTGGAGTTCCAACACGATCAACAAATTTACTAGGTATTGAATATTGTTGTAAAATACCCACACTGTTACAAAAATGTTCTGCTTGCTACAATAACAAATATAAATTAGATTATTATATATATTATAAATAATTATATATTATATATATTATAAATATAAATAATTTTTATAATCAATTACCTGATTTATAGTATCTTGCAATTGTGTTAAACGATCTGCCATATTTTTCAAATATAATCCTTACAACTATATTCTTCCTATAATATAATCAATAACACTATTCTAACATCACTTTATTTAAATACAATATTTAATATTACCATGAAATATAATCATGAAATTTCTTCATTCAAAAGAATTAACGTTCGTGTTTAAATTAATTGATTTTAACTAACCTTAAAATTTACCGCAGCTTTAAATATAATTTATGATATGGCAACATCGCTTTCGTTTGAATCGTAACCATGAATATTCGGAAACTATATTTTAATATTGCAGTAAATGAAAAATGTATAACTAATTTTTAAAAATGTATAATATTTTTTAAAGAAATTAGTCTAAATATATATAATCTTCTAATAATTAAATTTAATAAATAAAAGTTGTAGAATATTAAAAATTAAGTAAAGGAGCGAAGTATAGAAATTTCAAGTTTGTATGAGATTATAGTTTTAAATATTTATATTTAAAATATTTACATTAATTTAAATAAATATTAGTACTAATAAATTTAAACTATTTTATAAATAAAATTACACTATTGTTCACATTATTATATTGAATTATAATTATTTCACTTTTTCTTCTTGTTTATCATGCAATAGCTAAAAACAAATATTTCATAAAATCGCAAAAAATCTCGTAAATTTATAAAATGTGAAATTATTAATTTGTAATAACTTAATTAATTATATTGATATCGATGTACATTGTTGCCAAATTTATTCTCATCAGTTGTATCCAGAATAGGCCAGCATAAAGAAAAAAAATTTCAAACAATTCCAAAATTATATATTTAATCGATAAAAGATGAAAAACAAAAAAAATAAAAAAAATTTTTCATTTTTATGCTATTTTATTTGAATTAATTATATATCATTCAAATGATTATTTTAAAAATATTGCTTATTAGAAATTATAAATATGAAATACATGAATATGACATACACAGGCGATATATTAATCATTATGTACAAACTGAATGTTATTCATGTAAATACTTCACATCATTGCATACATGATCATGGCTCATGAATGCACACAAGTGAAGTAAAAATGTCTCTAAATATAATATATATAATTTAAAAAGAGAAATATATATATATATATATTTCTTAAAAATATTTAATTTCTATCGAATTAAAAATGGAAATTCTCTTATATCGATCGACATGAGCACTTTTAAAAATTATTATTTTATTTTTAACAGAAACATAATAGGAATAAAATCTTAAGTCACGTATATACAAAAACAATTGTAAATTATAAATATTATAACGATTTCCAAATTCATTTAGATATTTAACGTAGTATAATTATGAGAAGGAAGTTAAAAAAGAAAAGGAGTTCATATTAACTTAATTTAGCATTTTTCCATTGCATTTTATAAAATGTTTACATGGGGAAATATTTACAAAAATATGAGTAGGGTATGATGAAATGTAGAAGATAGGAAAAGGGATGAACAATATAGTTTTATAAACGATTTAATTGAGAGTACCCCGACATTGAGGAGCTCCACATAGGCAAGGGATTTTATCATCCTCCAATGGAAATTTATAATCGTATGTAATTTCTTCGTTAACTCCTATTGGTTGTTTACTATAGATTACAATTTTCTTCTGGCTCTCAATTGTAATTACTTTTGCATAACAATTCGGCTGAAAATAAGTGAAAATTAATAATATAATTTCGGATTATTATATAAATTTATAAAATATATTCTATGAAAATGAAACAAACACTAGTATAGTACTCACATTGCAGCTATGATTAATAAACCGTGCTAAATTTCCACACTTTGTTGCATCAATAATTGTATCTAAATCAATGCGGAAAAGATAGGAACTACCGATACCGGTAGCTTCGTATTGAGACTCTCGTAAATCAGCAACAACTGGTCTAACCATTTGACCAACATATTCGATAACCATTTCATCAGCTGCAATTGGTTCCATAGCAAACAAACCCCAATCATGTATACCAGATTTAGCAAATTTCAATTGTTTTTTTCTAAACTATAAAATAAAATAAATGAGATTAGATTTTTTTGAAATAATTAAATATAGTTTATAATTAATAGTTAAATGAAACAACTAAATTCTTACTTTCAACTGATTAAATTTAAGAAGGTCGCTATCAGTATCGATACCGAAAGCTGTTAATAATCGACGTTGATTACTTCGAGCTTCGCGAGATAAAGCTTGCATTTTACCAGTTAAAGCTTTAGTATTGTTCTTTGGACCATTCATTGTTCCATCACCAGAGACATAAGAGCCATTATTATCTTCAACGTCATTGCTTCGTTGTATACTTTGTGCATAATGATGCTATAAACAATAAATTTTAATAAATTAAAAAATTAATAATTATACAAAAAATAATAAAAATTATTTATGTTAATTCATAATCATAGAAATTAAATACGGAAATATGATATTTTATTATGAACTTTTAAAAATATTTTTTTTAAATCTGAACTTTAAAAAATTTCATATTAATAATATATAGTTATGGATTAGTAAATATTAATAATTATTAAAATAAAAAGTATATACCTTATGTTTAGCTTTTTCACGTACATCAACTTTATAATATCCTTCTGTCCTTGCACTTCCGCTTGTATGCAATCTAAGTTCATCTCTTTTTCTACGTTTTGCAGGACTTGGAATATCAGTTGGAGGATGATCAACCCAGTGTGTATCATTTAACCAATAACCTTGACTATCATCGGCTAATAAAGCTTCGTAACTTCGTCTTAAATATTCTACATCTTCTGCGTCTATTCCTCTAGTTAAAAATTCATACAAAATAGCCATTTCTGACATAAGATCACGTTCTTTGTATGTAACTATTGGTTCGTCAACTTTTTTTGGATATTTCTCATAAATATATTCATTTTCGATATTTTCTTTCTCTCCTTCATGATTTTGATGAACACGCATTTTAGTATATTTATTGTATTTTCGTTTCTCTACTTTATGTGTTTTGTCTTTGTTCTTAGATAATTTTACAATTTTTGAGGATTTAAGTTTTACAGGTTTTATTGGTGCTGAAGGCGTACGAAGTACAGATTTTGCAATTTCTGATTGTGTTGGTGGTAATGAATATGAATGTTCCATGAATACTTGTGAAGCTTGTGAATTTTTTGGACTTTGTTGGCTATTGAGTCGAAGATCAGCTTCAGCCTGATACCTAATTAATGCAAAATGGAATAATATCACATTTTATGTTAATTTATATGCTACAAATAATATATATAATTTATTTTTATTTTTATTTAAATTTACAAACCGTAATCTTCTAATTTCTAAGCTCTCTTCCTCCGAATCGGTAGTAGGTATCTCACTAAACATTTCAATTTTTTCTGATTCTTTTAATATAGGTTCATCGTTAATATACTTAGCAGACATAGTTTGAAGAGCTCTAATAATATTTGGTTGTACAGGTCCCGGACTTCTATGTCTTATAATATTATCTTGGCCAGCTAATGTTATTAAAGCTTCTGCTGCAGAATTTTCCATTTTTTGCATATCACATGATTCTTGTTTACCTGATGCTATTGAAGTATTTTTTATTTTTTTTTGTACTTCATCTTCCACATTCTTTATTTCTGTATCTTCGTTGACTATTCGAATGTTTTCAAGATATTCTTTATCCACAGATTTATCATCTATTTTTTCATTGTCTTCTTTGTCACTTTCATACTCCAATGGAGATAATACAGGGCTAGCTTCATCATCACATTGTGGGAATTCATTTGAACTTACATCTTTTATTTTAATGTTAGGTATTGGTGTCTCTCTACCAGTAGGAGTTGGACAATCTAATGATCTTTGAATTGCAAGTTCTGTTAAAATATCAGGATCTTCACTATTGCAAGCCAAGGGCTGATGATCTGACAAATGGCTGTCTGTGTCTTGCTAAAAATAAAAATTATTTTTATGAAAAAATATAAAAAAATATAATAGATGAATGTATGTGTTTAAAAATTATTTGTACTTTAGTAAATTATATACCTCATCTTCAAAATTTCCAGAACATACTTCTTCATCGGAACTATCACT